TTTGGAACCAATCTTCTCCAGGAGGACTTGGTCCCGTCCTTTTACTCAGCTTCTTAGACTTTCTGGTTCTTGCTGATTTTCAGGTTGGAACAGGAAACCACCTCAATCCAGATGGACTGAACTGTTGCTCTGGTTCCTTCTTAGGGCTGCCTCTCTAAACCTGCTCTGCATGGAAATGGTAGGTGTACCTAGCCACAGGTTTATGAAGATTGTCTCATACATACAAATCACAAGCAGTATTAAGTTAAGACCTGATGTTTAAGGAATTAAATCCTCTACATTCTCCTTTGACCAGAAGGAATGTTGAGAAAGAAAAGTACGGCTGTTTCCCCATGGATGTGATAAAGTCTGAGACTTGCAAAAGAGCTTAAGTAGTACAACTTGTGTAAGAAGAATTCTTTGGGTGCAGTTAGTATAAACAAAGGGTCCTTGGCACGAACAGAAACTAAGCAGCTGCGAGAGATTTGCTCAGAAACCAAAAGATTAAATACTCCTAGGAGAGGCAGAGAGGAAATACCCACTAAGTTCTCTGATATTTCTTTTTCTCTTTCCTACTTCTCTATAGCCTTCTAGGATAAAACATGCCTATCTGTGGCTTAAAAAGTCCAAATTTTTTTTTTCCTTGAAAATGACCATTTTGTCAGCATTTTCTCTTTATCTCCTTAAATTTAAGCAAGCATACGGTTTTAAAGTTAAGTCACAAGAAATAAATTATTTACATTCTCTTGCCAGCGTGATCTATTCTCTATGAGACCATCAATGAAAGGACACTGATAGTAACTTAAGCCCCATGAGAATAGTATGAGTTAGTGGGAGTCATTGATGCAGAAAAGAATTGCCTTGAAATGAAACAACTAAAAGAACATACCAGATTCAGTTTGTTTATGACGGAAAAACCCTGGGGAGCAATAATGCAGGGTAATACATTTCTTTGTAGTCTTGCTATTCCTTGTCATACAGCAGCTACCCATAGGCCAAGTTTCTTAAGACATAAACATGAAATTGACTGGACCCTGCTTCATATTTCCACATCATTTTTCTAAAAGAGCCCTTATTGCTGCTGCAACACAATCAGATCAAAGCTGGGAAATGTGCAACATGTAATTTCATCAGAGAGTTTGTACAACTTTAAAATTTTACTCAAATACTAGAAATACAATGGCTATTATGTTGAAACATATGGAATTGTCAAAAAGTGACTTTTTACCTAAAAAACAAATTTCTGTTTCATTAAAAAATATAACACAGTAGATCATTGAATAATAAGGCACACGATTGAATACCACGACACGGACGGCTAGCCAAGTTTATTGTTAAGTGATAAAAGCAAGTTTTCAAATCGTGTGTATAAAATGCCACCATTTTTGCAGCTCTGCCAAAAAAATAGGTATACTTTTGATCCATTCCCACTGACGGCTATTGTTGTGTTGACTATTCTCATTTTTTAATTTGACAATCTAAGAGAAAGGAGGTCAGTGCCCCTGACTAAATAGTCAGGTATTGCATGTTTCAAACATTCTTGCGGCACACGGGTTGACAGTCACTGTGCTGAGTGATAGAAGTCTGACGCATAGCTGTCTGGTTCAGTTTATGTGACATTCTGGAAAAGGCACAACTCCAGGGTTGGAAAACAGATCAATGGTATCCAGGGATTAGGGGTGGGTGAGGAAAGTGAAGGCAATGTTTTAGGGTGAGGGAACTGTTCTGTGTCTTGATTATGGTGGTGGTTATACAACTCTAAGCATTTGTCAAAACTTACAGAACTATACACCAAAAATGTGAATTTTATTCTATGTTAATTTTAAAATAACTTTAAAAATAGCATTGGAAAAAGATCTAATCTTTTATTAAAATAAAATCTCTTCATAAATCTTGATGCATCCTGTAATTTTCTGGGTAGAATTAAGAAAAAGAAACTGCTTTGAAATTGACAAAGGTGGTTACCAAGTGTAAATTAACCATGATATTCTTCCTACTTGAGGGAAGATTGGGAGTTCAGGGCTGAGCTCACAAACTCTATATAAATGCCAACTGTCTGAAGTGTAGACCAACACTCGGTGACTTGTGAGGACAAACAGACTGTGGGTGATGTCCATTGAGCTTTAACACCACACAGCTCCCCCTTCACACCTGAATGTTGCTTTTTCTTACCTACCAATTAATCAGATGCAAGAGATTGTTTGACCATGGGTGTCTTAAATTCTGATGCTCCTCCTCCTTTTATTGAAATCATGAGCAAAGAAGGCCCTTGAGGGCCAGAGAAGCAAGCTTTTCTCCCCTGACTGCTTTGTGGACCCTAACTGCATTTATCTGCTTGGGCTCCAAAATGTAAACGGTAACGCTCAGATGGGCAGCATGAGAATAATCTCTTTAGCAGTTAGCATGGTATTTGGCCAGTAGAAGCAGTGTTTCCAATTATCTTTTTTTTTTTTAAGTTTGCTTATTTAATGGAGGAGCAATCTTAAAAAAGAGGAAAAAGGAAGAGGAGAAGGAGAAGGAAGAGGAAGAGGAGGAGGAGGAGGAAGAGGGGGAGAAGGAAGAGGGTGAGGAGGATGAAGAGGGGGAGGAGGAGGCCACAAAATCTGGGTCCCAAGGCCAGAAGACTGAGCTCTTCTTGGTCATGTCCACTTTCCAGCTTGGCTTAGCAATGAGGCCCAACCCTATTCACATGGGTTACTAATGAGTCAGGCTAACCAACTTGGGTTTGTAAATAGAAGAGGCTGAAACAGATTGTTCTGTATAAATAAGTCTATAAAGTGGTACCCTGAGTAACGGCTATGATGCACCAGCTGTCCGTCATGAAGTGAGCACTTCACAATAATAGCGTGCCCAGGAGTCTAAGCTGGAGGAAGTTCCTCCAATGGCCTGTTTGTCGTTTTCTTTCCCTGTTTGTAATAGAATACCTCCTCCCAACTCACACCCCCGTGGGAAAATAACACCGGGCAGCCTGCTTGATGCTTATTTGATTCTGTCTGTTATTGTGACTGTGCTGCCAGATGCTTCAAGTGGGGGCTCAAAGGTCTTTTTAACCCAAACAATCAGGTTAGTGCTGCCACATCTAAGTCCAGGGAGTGAGGGTCTGTTAAGCCCTTCTGATATGCTTTGTCTTTGAAGAGATCATACTGCAGCCAGGGAGCTCAGGAAAGAGCATCACGAGTGCTTTGACCTGATCTGAGAGAGGGGCTTCCTCTCGTCATCTGTTTATCCCTGGCAGGACGTGCGACAGAAAGGCCTGGGACTTTGGTCCAATGGTCCCTAGCCGGGGGACTTGGAGACTTGATTCTGGTGCTGTGACGCTTGAACGTGTGACTGACTCTTCCTGAGTCAGGATTTGTCACATTAAAGCCAGGGAATAGATTACAGGGTTTCTCAGGCCCCTTCCAGTTCTGAAAGGCCAAGAGCCTATAAAACAAGGGGGAAATGTATGAAGCCCAACTAGATTAAATCAAGTGATGGAGCTCAAGTACACAGAATGCTCGGGGCTCTTTTTTATTTTAATCTTTGTTGTGGAAAGTATGACATATGTCCCCCTTTTCCCCCATTGACCCCTTATAGCCCGCCTCTGCCACCCAACCCCAGGCCTTCACCACCTTAATGTCTGTGTCCATGGGCTATGCATATATGCATGCAAAGTCATTGGGTGGATCGCTTCCCACCCACCCACCCACCCACCCATCCAGCCTTCCCTCTGAGATTTGACAGTCTGTTCCCTGCTTCTATGTCTCTAGATCTATTTTGTTCATCAGTTTATTTTGTTCACTAGATTCTACATATGAGTGAGATCATGTGATACTTGTCTTTCTCTGACTGGCTTATTTCACTTAGCAAAATACTCTCTAAACCAGGGGATTGGATTGCAGGATTTCTCAGGCGTCTTCCAGTTCTGAAAGGCCACGCGTCTATAAAATAAAGGGAGGAAATGTATGACCGCCAACTAGATTAAATCAGCAATGGAGCTCAAGTATACAGAATGCTCAGGGTCTTCCTGAATCATTAAGCTCACCTGTTTATCAGTACACTACTCATTCAACATACAGAATAAAAATGAAAGAAGTGGCAGGGAACATGTGACACTATTAAAGGAGGACCATTTAGATGGGGCTGTTTATAAAGTTTTAGGGCATATCGCATAATGATGTTCAATACTCAAGCTTTTGAGTCAGCCTGCCACGTTCGAATTTCAGCCTCACTATTTGGTGCCTGTGTATCCTTAGCTGAATTTCTTTCTCTGGGCTTCAGTTCATCAGATGTAAAAAGAGATAACAATATTATTCACCTCAAAGAGTTGCTGTGAGTATTTAATGAAATAATGCATGCTGTCTGGATCATGAAACATTTGATAAATATTATATATTACCACTCCTGCTGTGGCTGCTGCTACTCCTCCATGTAGAATAAAGTGAATGATATGCTCCAGAACTACGAAGAACAATGCATGGTGCTGGGGAGAAGGGACAGCTGTTGGTGGAGCGACTAAGGCACCAGACTTGACATCAAAAGTCGAGGGTTTTAGTTCAGGATAACACTGAAATAAAGAATGTTCCCACAAACAAATTCCACAGTGCAAATTACATTAGGCACATACTGCCTCTTAGTAGCTGGGTGACTTTGGACATGTCACCCAACCTCTCTGAGCTTTGGTCTCCCCATGTGGATGTGAAGGCTTATCTCCCAGAGATACTGGAATGAGCTGTGCGAGATAATGCATGTGAAGTCATGCATTGTAAGCCACAAACCCCTCTGCAAATGTAAGGATCGTTATGAACTAGATATTCATTCTTCTGATGCCCTGAAATACTTGGCACTTTTCACGATGACTCAGGTTTATCTTCAGGAACATCTAGTACTGACAAATAAAACATAGCTGTCTGTGGCGCTTTACCAATTTAACCTGCTTTCACGTACATCACCTCTTCCATCCCCACAACCTAAAAGGTACATAGGCTATTTGTCCCCATCCTGATCCTGTCCTTAGTTCTAATCAGTGTCTTTCTTCACAGCTGCCATGGTCTGGCTTCTTATCCCACTTCTCTTTACTCATGGAGTTATTATTGGAACCAGACGTAAGAATAGCAAACACCTTGAATGCTAGGTCAAGGAAGAATTTGAGCAAGAAAGGAGCATGTTCAGGTATTTTTAAAATCTTACTTAGCATCAGCTGAACTCAGATGGGCTGGAACATATGGCCTGAAGTCAGAATAGATTAGCGTGTTATTTAATAACAAGGAAAGGTGGTAAGGGCCTACACTTGAGTGATGGCAGGGAGGATGGGAAGGAGCCAAAAGACTAAAGAGACTAGGAGATAAGGAAATAAATCTTTTGAACTTTTTAATTTGTTCAATAAATGTTTATTGAACATTTGCCATGTGTCAGGTATTGCACCAGGGGCTGGGAACACTTACCAGTCAGACAAATTCTTGATCTTTGTGTATTTATGGTCGATGGCATTTGTCCAGCAATTGAATATCAATGAGATGGGAAAGTGGGAAGTCAAATAGAGGTGACTGGGGTTTCCAGCTCCAGTGTCTGGGGAAACGGTGTAATTGAATAGCAATGGGAGGGAGGAGGATGCCTGGGTAGGTGTGAAAAGTGACACATTCTGTGTCTGGCACAATGAACTTGGAGAATTGACATCTAATTAAAATGCTTTCCTAAAATGAAATAAGCTCTGGATTTAACTCTTGGGCTCTGGGGCTGACACTACATGATCTCTGTGGAGCTGTACAGTCTCTCAGTGTCTAATTAATGACACACTCAGGTTGGGCTGGAGACACTTACTTTTTCCTGGCCCCAAATTTTAGGAGCCATTTTTCTTGTATCTTTATATGAGAAAACACATTAAAATAGATATTATTGAATAGAGTTATATGGAAAGATACTGAATTGTATACCAAGTTGACTTATCTCATAAAGACCTTCTATAAAAGTTAAAAGTATAAATTAAATTTTAATTTAGTCAAGGTATTTTTTGGAGGCAGTAAGATAAAATAATCCACGTACATTTATTTCTGATGATTTAACTTAATATAGGGATGGAATGTAGAGAATGTGTCCTCTAGGCTGTGTTTTATTTTTATTTTTATTTTTATTTTTTTAAAATATATTTTATTGATTTTTTTACAGAGAGGAAGGGAGAGAGATAGAGAGTTAGAAACATCGATGAGAGAGAAACATCGATCAGCTGCCTCCTGCACATCTCCCACTGGGATATGCCCGCAACCCAGGTACATGCCCTTGACCGGAATCGAACCTGGGACCTTCCAGTCCGCAGGCCGATGCTCTATCCACTGAGCCAAGCCGGTTTCGGCTAGGCTGTGCTTTAAACATCAGCTATATCTAAGAAACTATTGCTGAGGGCTGGATTTTGATTAATTCCTGATTAAATTCTCTGCCTGGTACCTCACACGGCAGTATGCAGCGTGGCTCATCGAAGAAAGCTCCGAAGGCCATAGATGCACATTAACACAGTTGACATGCGATTGGGAAATTTAGAAGCCTTCCTTTATTCTTTCCCAGGCTAGAAATCATTCTACTTTCTCATAGAAGTGGCCACAGAGGTCAGGCCATTTTTTGTCCCCCAAAATATATTGAATCTCCTCAGACTTTTAAAGGGTTTGTTTAAACCTTACTGCTCTGTACCATAAGCTCTAGAAGAGATCATTTTATCTTGAAAAAAATATTGAGATTAGGTTCAAACAATCAATCGCTTATAAATAGGTCAATGTGACCAGCATAAGCTATTTTTAAGGTGCCTATAGAGCAGTGGGTTTTAATCATGGCTATATTTTGAATCATCTTGAGAACTTTAAAATATACTGATACCTGAGTCTGGTGCCACGGGTTCTGTTTTGAGAGTTTCAAATTTTCTCAGGTGATTTGATGGGCAGCTCTTATTGAGAACCACAGCTGTAGAGCATCTGCTTTGGAGTAAGACCACATCCCAGTGGTCCTTGCCACCATAAGTTAGCTGAAAAATTAAAGTCCAAATAAGCTGACTTATTAGAGATACTCATTTATTGTGATCCTATGCTAACTTGGTCCTTTCACTGGCTACCCTTGCGTTCCACCTGTCATAAGGCTCAACCAGAGATGGAGCTGTTTCTGAGGTCTGCTCCAGTTTTTTGCTGATAAAACTATGCCATCAGTGTGAAGGAGGGGGCTCCTTTTCCTCTTTATATTTGCCGTGGAAATACACCTTAGCCAGCCCTAGCTGGTTTGGCTCAGTGGATAGAGTGTTGGTCTGTGGACTGAAGGATCCCGGGTTAGATTCTGGTCAAGGGCACATGTCCAGGTTGTAGGCTCGATCCCTAGTAGTGGGCGTGCAGGAGACAGCCAATCAATGATTCTCTGTCATCATTGATGTTTCTCTCTCTTTCTCCCTCTCCCTTCCTCTCAGAAATCAATAAATATTAGAAAGGAAGGAAGGAAGGAAGGAAGGAAGGAAGGAAGGAAGGAAGGAAGGAAGGAAGGACAAAAGAAAGAAAGAAAGAAAGAAAGAAAGAAAGAAAGAAAGAAAGAAAGAAAGAAAGAAAGAGAGAAAGAGAGAAAGAAAAAATGCACCCTAGCCAATTCATGGAGTGTCTTTATCAGGTTACATGTCCCTGCTAAGATAAAAAAGGGGAGGGGAGGGGCAGCATGGGACATAGTCCCATAGCCTACTTTACATCATTTAGAATTTGAGAGCTTGTTCTTACCCATGCTTATCTTGGTAGCAGTTTTACAATATGAAGAAACATGGGTAGTGTCTGATATGGTCATACTGCTGCTTAGTGATCTATCAATATATTAATGGAATCAAAGACTGAGGAGATTTTGTAGCCTTCACATTTCTGTCTTTTCTTCATTTGTTTGTTTGTTGTTATTTCAGATGTTCATGTTTGGAGGATTTCTGGCCCATTTTGGTACTCACAGTTATTCCGGATGGCTTATGAACCAGGTTCCAGTCAACAGATGCATGAAACACAACTCTATTTATATTTGATGTGGCCCTTGGGACCATCAGCTCCTAACTCAGCTACTAATAACTCTTGTAGCCAGAGCATGTCAGTTAAATTCTCAGAATCTCATCTTCCTTATCTTGTAATCTCATTTTCCTTATCTTGTAGTGTTGTTGTAAGGATTACAAATAATATATTACAGTGTCTACTGCATAATAAATTATAGCTATTATCTCCAAATCTAGATTGCAAACTCCTTAATGGTCATGTTTTCTCTACCAAGTTTAGATATTTATAATTCTCAAGCATGCATGAGTTGGTGCTCAAAAAATATAACACAATTCCAACTTTACAAATGATAGGGAGTATTAGAACTAATTATCTTCATCAGGCTTGCAGAATTAGAGGTATAGTCTACAATCATGTTACTGAACAATGTGACTGGTCCATGAGAGAATCAGATACACAGTCTTACGAGGTTAAAGCTTGGGTCCTGGAGTCAGATTGCCTGAATTCTTGATCAAGTTGCTTTATCCCTTTCAGCTCAGTTTCTTTATCAACAACCTGGACATGCTCAATAGATTAATGAAATAATACACATACAGTTCTTACCTAGAAGCTGGTACATTATAAAGGTTTAATTAAGGCTTGCTATTATTATTGTTGGCTTTATTAGCATTGTTCTGATTCATGCACTAACTTCCAGAGGAAGTGACAGTCGCCAGCAGGTTACTTGCAACAGAAACAAGGTGACTCAATGTGGTAAGAAGCACAGGATGTCTAGGAAAGAAGTACAGAGGGAGCCAAAGACAACAGCCTCTGGAAACACAGCCACAGCCACTACCCAATGGAGATAGCACATACTGAGGTCACTCTTGGGAAGGCATTCAATTCAATAGAAATTGAGCAGCCTTTATTTATTCAGCATCGTGTTAGATAGCTGCAGGAGTCTTAAAGGAAGTGAAAAGTAGAACCTTTGAGGAGCTTGGAGTCCGTGTGGGGAGAGAAGTCTTTGTGAAGAAGATGGAGACTGATGTTAGATAATTCAGTACTGACTTGGCGCTTCAGCCTGTGCTTGCTGTAGCAGTTAGAAGAGGAGCGAGCAATACAGACCTGTCTACACTATTCTTTCTAGAGGAAAATAATGCCGTTAGTAATAACTCCTCCAAATATGATGAGCAGGGAAGGTATCTTATCTACCGACATAAAAGCCATACCGTTTCATTTCTGTTTTCCAGAAACAATCCAGAATATAACAAATATGTGAAGAATCAGGAAGTGGATTATTCAGGAAAAACTACAGGAGTTAGGAAAGATTTCATTATAACACTTTCCCCAATCCAAATCCACAACGGTTCATTAAACAGCCCAGAAGACTGTCCCAGGTACTGTGCTAGACCCATGAGATTTAGAAAGGAAAAGATATGGTCCTGCCCTCAAGGGTTGGCTCACATTCTCATGGTCATGGGCAGCCTAAGTTTCACCCTAAAGGTGAGGGAGAGCGACCAAAATAACATGGGATGGTTGGATTTGTGCTTTAGATACATGTAGAGAAAGGACTTAGCAAAGTCTCAATTAGAATTGAGTACTGTTGCATAGAACAGGGCTGAAGCCAATAGGGGGTTTTCTCACATAAGCAGAAGTCTGGAGGTGAGCAGTTATTCACTGGCTCAGGCACTCATCTCCTTTTTCTTTTTGCTTTGCCATGCTTTGGTCCTCACAGTTGTCACCTCCTGGTCAGGAGGTGCCTGTCTGTACTTAAACTATTACATCCACATTTAAGGCAGCAAGGATGGCGAAAAATGAAACTATTCTCTTTAATCCCCAAAGTAAAAGGCCTCCCAGAGACCACCAGCCTTTTGGCAGAGCACTGGTGGTTAGGTAAGGACTATGCTAGATGGTTACCTATAGCTGCAAGAGATGCTGAGAAAGCAATCATCTTCTTACTTCTAGAGTAGATTTCTGTCAGGGAGAAGGAGGTAATAAAGAAGGAGTGGATATTGTTTCCATTAATTGAAATTCTTAGTGCATGTAGTTCTCCTGGATGTGGGTGTGAGGTGTCATCCCAAGGAGATATTCAGGGAGTTGGAAATAAATTAAAAACTCAAGTGAAGGCTTAGGGCTTGGGATATATTTGGAGGTCATTAGAATGTAGGTGGGGTGTAGGAGGATGCCCTACATTCTCACAATTTCTGAGGAGTGAATGGCTTTTCATCCTCCTAACATAATTTCACTTTAGCCCAAGTTTGTGGAGACGGGCTAATTTTTCTACATGCTCACACACCCACCCTGGAATTTAAAGGATAATAAAGTTATGCAAAGAATCACTGTGTGCAACAAAAAGCAGAAACTTTTCTGCCAAACCTACCTCCAGTACAAACATGTATACACCCCAGTCAGTGCTATACATAGAACTGGCTCTTTAATACCCACATCTATTTGCCACACTGTGGAGTAAATGTGTTTTCATTCTCTTGATTAAAATAACAAGCACTATCATCATACTGGAAGGCTTGGTATTTGTTACAGAAATACAACCACACAAAAAATACAACTGTGGAGACTCTTGCTGAGGTCTACTGGCAAGGTATCTGGTACTATCTGGCTTGGGATAAAAATCCTGCAACTAAAATAATCTTACCTCTCAAGCAATCCTCGGATCCACTGTGAAGACTATTGAAGTCCTCTCTTACCTTCGGCCTGAAAGGGGCCTCTGCCTTTTTAGCCAGGCAGGCTGGTCACGGAAATTCTACTCTGGAACTGTGGATACAAGAGAAGCATTTCTTCAGTATTTACTCTGACCGGTGAAATAGCTATGACAAATTTTTTCTTTCCCCAGAGACACAAGGTGACATTTTAAAGGAGAAACCACTCTTTTGATGCCATAGAGTGTTTTAAAAATATTAGAATAAGGGCTCAAAGGAATGTCTGCTTAAGCACAGCGGTCCAAAGCCTCACATTTCAAGGAGAATTCAGCCACTTAATGCCGACAGGGATCCATTCCAGCCTCTTCCCTGTTGGATCTACTTTGTACTCGGCATCAGATTCAAAACTAGTAACATCTTCTTGGTTCAAGGGCCCCCTTTTTCCTGCTTAGCTAAATCCATGCTATATTGTAACATTGCTCCCTGCCCCAGTCATGAGCTCCTTAAGGTTAGGGGTCACATCTTGTATTCGGTTATTTCTTGCAGAGTTATGTCTGTCATGGTGAACCTGCAGGAAATAGTTGTTAAATGAATGAATGAAAGAATGGAGAGCAATGGTAGGTAAGCTGCTAGGCAGCCTGGGAAAGAGGATTACAAAACTCAGGTCAGGTTAGCAGGAAAGGTGGGGTAGGGGAAAGAATGTTTTATTGAGCCAGCAGACAGAAATCCTAGCCCCAGGTTGGCTGGTTTGCCTTTACTCATTCAACAAACATTTCTTTAAGCTTCTTCCAGTGAGCCAGGCAGGCCTTGCCACAGACATGAATAAGACAAAGCCCCTGCCCTCAAAGTGCAGTGGGGGTGGTGAGGGGCACATGTGACAATCAGGGGTGATAGAGATTTGTGTAATTGGAGACACGATGCACGATGATGGGGCACATGGAACAAGGAAAAAAGGCTTATAAGTCAGATTGTGGTTTCCAGAAAAGCTTCATGAAGGAGAAAGATTTTGATTCAAGAATTACGATGAGTGTTGACTCGATGAGAGAGATTGATTAGGTAAAACATCATAGGTACAGGGACTAGCATGTGAGATGTTCCAAACCATAAAATAGGAGGTTGCAAATGAGAGCTAAAGTCTCAACTGAAAGATTGGCTAGAGCTAGAGCTACCTTTCAAAGGGCTTTCTTGCAAGATGATTTAGTGCTTTTAAGAGCAGAGGTTTAGAAATCAGACAGAACTGAGTTCAAATCTCAGCTCTGGTAGTTACCAGCCATGTAACCATAACTGACTGACGTGTGTGTGTGTGTGTGTGTGTGTGTGTGTGTGTGTGTGTGTGTGTGTTTGCCCCTCTAATTCTTAGCATAGTGTCTGGCTGTATCACATATATTGCTGCCTAACAAATTATCCCAAACCATAACAGCTTGAAACAACACGTATTTATTAAATCCTCAGTCTCTGTGGGTCTTAAATCTGGGCCTTGCTTATCAGGGTCCTCTGCTTCAGGGTCTCACAAGGCTGCAATCAAAGCGTCAGCCAGAGCTAAGGTGTCATCTCAAGACATAACCTGGAAGGATTCACTCCCAAGCTCACTTACATGTTTGCTGGAAGAATCCCGTGCCTTGCTGGCTGTTGGCCAGAGGCTGCCTGAGTTCCTTGCCATGTTGGCCTTCCCATCATAACAGCTTCCTTCATCAAAGCCAGTGAAAGAGATATGCTATCAAGACAGATGTAGCCTAATCACTGAAGTGACTTCTCATCACGATTACCACATTGTACAGGTTAGAAGTCAGTAGGTTGGCCCACACTCCAGAGAAGGGGCTTATACAAGGCAATAATCACCAGGAAATGGGAGGGGCGTCATTGAAGGCCATTTTGGGGTCTGTCTGCCTGACCCACTAAATAAATAGCTTCTTACCACTAAATAAATGTTAGCTATTATTATTATTATACTAGAGGCCCAGTGCACGAAATTCATGCACAGGTAGGGTACCTAGACCTGGCCAGCGATCAGGACTGATCGGGGCCTTCTGGATGCAGGCCAGGGCCTCCCTTCCCCAGCTGTCAGCTGCTGGCTGGGGCCTTACCTTTGTTCTGCGCTGCCCCATGGTGGTCAGTGCACATCATGGCAAGTGATCAAACTCCAGGTCTCCTGGTTGAACTCCTGAGGGGACACTTTGCCTATTCAATTGAGAGTTGGAAAAGCTAGAAAGCCTGTGAAGGACTTCATATGAAGGAGTAACTTTAGGTGACCATGGGCAAGTAAAGTCACCTCATGTCATTGAGCCTTCATTTCCTGAATACATTGAAAAATACATAGCCCCAAAGAAATGAGAACGCATCTATGCAAGCACAAATGCATGTTGTAACACCAAATATACAACTCTACACAGTCTGTGGAAGCAAACTGTTTTGGGCTAATTTTCCATTTTGTGTGGATTCTGTGAACCTCACAGTCTGATATCCTCAGCGTGGTTAGGGCTTGGCTCTGTGGGCCCAAGAGGATTTGTACAACTGGAATAAACTTTCACAAGAAAAAAATCGAGCAATGAGCGTCCCTTCAGCAATTCCAAAGGTTTGCCTTTTACTT